CCCCTGCACTTTGTAGTTTAAAACAGGTCTGCTGCTTGATCACTTTCAACCTGGAAGAATGTGTAATTTAAAGGGTTGTAAAGTTTTAAGCAGATGCAGTTGGGGTGTAGATGTTGTGGATGTATACTACCGTGTTTCCCTGAAAAGAAACCCACCCCCCGAAAATAAGCCAGCCCTGAAAATATTTTAACACATGCACAGCTGGTCCCCGCCATTTCCTCTGGTTAGGGTTAGGGAGACAGAGCTGGAAATCAGGTAAGATGGCAAGACGATCCCTGTCTCGCTCCATGCACCCCAAAATAATAAGACCTCCCCGAAAATGAGGCAAAGCGCTTATTTTGGGGTTCAAAAAAATATAAGGATCTTATTTTTGGAAAAACACGGTATATCTTTAAGAAAATGCCATCTGTGGCACAGCTAGTTTTATGCAAGTACATTAATCGAATCTTAGAGTTGGACAGAGTGATCTAGGCCATCAAGCACCAATTTGCAATACTGCAATACTTGCAGCACAAGTATCCTGATTAAACAATCCCAGACAAATCATTTCTAACCTATTTGTATATAGATACTGAAGACTCTTCCACTACTACACCTCTGGCTAGTTGAGCTACTCTATAAAGAACACTTGCTGTGTCATTTCCAGGTTGGGCAAATAAAACTCTTCCTGAAACACTACAGAATTAGTGCGCTATCAGTCAATATAATGAATTAGATGAATGAATGATCTACCATTGCAAGGTGGCTCCCTGTCTTCCTTTAAATAGATCCTGCCTTTCAGCAGTCAAAACATTTCTGAGACTTAACTTAGTTTTTGCTGTACATGTTGCTGCTCATCATGGCAAATAGGTTTTACCTGCCCCCTTGGGTGCCTCAAGGCCCACATAAGTGAATGTAGGAGGAAGCTAACGATCTGACCTTAGTGACTCTTCCCTGTGCGTTGGTGCATTCCCATTGGTTAATGTCCTGTGCTTTCTCCCAGTTCACAAGACTAAAGAAGAGATCCAAGAAGCCCTGGCCAGAAAAGAAGAAAAACTGCAACTCAAGGCTCAACGGCGCCAGAAGCAAGAGGCAGATGTGGCCCACAAAAAAGCACTAAAGCAAGCTCATCGGTAAGAGACGGGAAGAGCAGGCACCCAAGCCAGAAAAGCTTCTTTTCCAGGCGTATGTTTCTCCAGAGCCTAAGTGGGAGCAGGGAATGTCCCTTTGGATTGAGAAGATTGACACTCTGGGCACTCATGGAAATTATTTTCGGCTACAGGAAGAAAAGTCTGGCAGGGATGAAGAGGAAGACGGACCAAGCAGTAGGAGGAGACAGTGATGCTGAGGACCCTGGAATGCAGGGGCAGCAAAATGTAGACGAGCCCTCCGATGATGATGTGGAATACTACCGCCAGGAAGTTGGGGAGGAACCGGATGAAGGTCAGTGCCTATTTAGTAGGTTTTTTAATTAAAACAATTTGTAGGTGGGCATAGTTGCTCACAACCTGAACCCTGGTTCTCTAAAGTAACCCTCTGATGCATCTGTCCTGGAGAAGAAGGAGGAGCGTGTGCTTTCTCAGCTCAATTGGGACTAGCAGTCATTGTTAAGATCTGAGCCAAGAAGCAGCATCATTCCTTTTGGCAAATTCACATTTGATCCTCAGCAAGAGCTGCTGCCATGGCAATTTTAACTGTAGGTGTCCAGTCCTTTCTCTTCTCTCATGGAGCAAATACAGGTGCAGGAGGGAGAATTTGGGGAGGGCTAGATTTTCCAACAATCCCATACCAAGCTTTCCTCCTGGTTCTCATAATGCTAAAAGCTGTGTCGTTTTTCTGAAGCTGTTTTTCCTCTTTCTGGGTGGGCTGTGACTTCCTACTTGAAGACCTTACGATCTAAATTGTTACTGGCTTAAGGTCATTCTTAAAAAAAGAAAAGTTCCGAGTATAAAAATGACTCTTCTTAACTGCTGCTTTTATTGTGCTCCACTCTTTCTAGACTTGTTCCCACAAAGCACAAAGAGAAAACGAAGGCTCAGCCAATCCACCACTCCCAAGAAAAAATGCAAATACATGCATTCAGTGCGAGATCAGAGTCAAGAGCATACGGGGCCCAAAACCACAATGAAACACAAGAAAGCTTCACAGCCTGGTGGTCAGAGGCAGCCACAAAGAGGCACTCCTCAAAACCGCCAGGGGAAGCTGAGCCAGCAGCAGAGGAATACAAGGCAGCACAGGAAGCCACAGAATGTAAAGCAGAAGCAACCCCGGGCTGCAGGACAGCCAAGAGGCAAAAAACAGACTGGCTTTAGGCCTCCAGGATCACGATGGCAGGGAAAATCTAGACTGGGGCAGAAGCAGGCCTTCAAAGGAAAAAGCAACTTCCGAAAAGCAAGGCATTCAAGGAAGCAAAAGTCAGCATAATGTCCCGAAACACTTGCGTAGTCTTTGTGATGTACTGGTTGTTTTATAAAATATATATTGACTTCCACAATCTGCCTCCTCTTCTTTTTGGGTTGGACTTGTATATGCTTTGATGTGGGGTTGGTTGGAAGTGCCAGAAAAGGAAAAGGCAGTTGATCAAACTTTTTTTAAGAGGACTTGAGCACTTTGGAAGGAGATGAAATAAGAAGCAGATGGCCATTTCTTTTGAGGGTTAAAATTTCTCTACTGCAATGCAGCAGGTTTCTAAGAAAATAGTTTCCGTTTGATAATGTAGAACAAAAGTGGCAAAAATGGATATATCTCTACCTGCTGATTTTAATCCGCAGGATTCTTTTCTTTAGCAATAATACTCTACACTTTTAAATTCCTGGTTCTCCCACAGAGGTTTTCAAAAGATACCAAATATTTGGCTTCCTTGTGGGCAGCTGCAGCTCTTCATAAAAAGAATAATTTGTAAAATAATTATCCCTGGCCAAATTGTTATTCATGCAAAATGTAGGGGCAGGTTTGCAGAAATACATCCTAGTTGTATTTAGGGGGATCTACATGATTCTATCAGTGGAAGTAAATACAGGTGGTCCTTGACTTGCAGCCATTTGTTTAGTGACTGAAGTTATGATGGCACTGGAAAAAGTGACGACTGTTTTTCACACTTATGACTGGCAGCATCCCCATGGTCACCTGATCAAAATTTGGATACTTGGCAACTGGCTCATATTTATGAGTGTTGCTGTGTCCTGGGGTCATGTGATCACATTTTGTGACCTGACAAAGTCAATGGGGAAACGAGATTCACTTTACAACTGTGCTAATTTAACAACTGCATGATTTATTTAACAACTGTGGCAAGGAAGGTGGTAAAAGGAGGCAAAACTTACTTAACTATCTTAGCAACAGAAATTTGGGGCTCAATTGTCATAAGTCGAGCACTACTTATAGAAGGATTTTGGTGTGGGGGAGGGTCAGTGTTTACTCCAGATGACTGGACAAAAGTTCCTACAGTTTTCTTAGCAAGATTTTGCAAGTGGTTTACCATTTCCTCTTTCCTAGGCTGAGAGAGTGACTGGCCCAAAGCCATCCAGTTGGCTTTGTGCCTAAGGTGGGACTAGAACTCGCAATTGCCTGGTTTATAGCCTGTTACCTCAACCACTACCCTATATTGGCCCTCTAGCATTATAAAACTTTATAGTTTAGATATGGCAAATTGACATCTGATGTAATAGCTAAGCTTTTAGATTGAGTTTTAGACAGTTTTAAGTTAGTAAATCAAGTCATGATTAATAAAGATTGATATACCTGTAGAATGCAGTTTTCTAAAAATAAAAAAAAAATCAAACCTGCTAATACATCTATTTTATGGAAAAATACAGGATGAATATTTTACTATTAGAAAAATGATTACAATTTCTGAGATGTAGAACATGTTACTTTCAACATGTTTTAAAACAATGACTACCATATTTTAGTCATTGATCAATAAAAAATAAAATCAATAAAATGAACAACACAAAACTTATCCCCTAAACAAAAAGAATTTTTAGCAACCACTTGTGAGCAAAGCAATGTGATGTAATTGTAAAAGAAAAAAATCTAGAGATTGCCACTACTGAATTTTGAATCTTAACATCCTTATCATAAAGATGGTTGCAAACCTAGACAGCACACATACACAACGTGGCGTTCTCTGAACTGATTATTTTATTCTGTAGACTCTAGCAAGACTAATCAACTTTAAAGTTAATCGGCATGCAGGATGTGGTTAGGGTCAAAAACCAACTTTTTCCATTGCTGTAACTGTTTTCACACTAAGAACCACATTTCTGTTTTGAGTGGTGATTGCCACCACAGATTGGTGGTGGAACTGGGTCCAAATAATGCATGCCTATGCTTATCTCTGGTTCTTTGATGTGGGCTGAATTTGCGAATTAGATCAGCTAAAGCATCTTTTCAGAATTCTATAATTTCAAATAGTGTTGTAGTGGGCTTTTTCTTTAAGCCAAAAATGTGTCTCAGTCTTGCTTGGCTAAATGCAATAAACCTTTGGTAGCAGATGTCCACAAGTTTTTCTTCTCTACAATTATTAAAAAAAAACCTCTATTTTTTGTAGCTATATTCAAATACTTTGGCCACTAATGAGAAGGAAGGACTCCCTGGAGAAGAGCCTAATGCTGGGAATGATTGAGGGCAAAAGAAGAATGGGATGACAGAGAACAAGGTGGCTGGATGGTGTCACTGAAGCAGTAGGCGTGAGCTTAAATGGACTCCAGAGGATGATAGAGGACAGGAAGGCCTGGAGGAATGTTGTCCATGGGGTCACAATGATTTGGACACAACTTCGCAACGAACAACAACAAGGATTTCAGAAAAAGTCCATTTCGGCTCTGGGATTTACTCTTTGTTAGATGGTCAGTCCTACTGTCATTCTAGGATCCCTCCACCTCATTCTGTCTTGTATGCTTGCTCTTTTTTCAGCATATTATGGTCACATGCAAAAGAGCCATAAAAAGCCTTTCCATTGTGTAACGCAGGTTCTTTTCAACTTTATTTAGTCATGATTCATCTACTTCCTGGTGCAGTTTCAGAATCTACATGGCAATACACTAACACATTTTGAACTCAGACTTCACAACTTCTTTGCAGTAGGGGAAAATACAACGGACTCCCTTCTACGTGGAATTGACTGGAAGCTGAATTAGGTATATGTGCATTGTGATACTATTTAAATAGTTACTGCACTCTCTATCTTAGTGTTCTTTAGATTTATTTGTTTACATCCCCACTATTTCCAACAACATTGTCTGGAGATTATGAGAACTGTAGTTTTACAAAACAGGAGAGCAAGTCAGAGAACACTGATGTAATGCTGCCTATTTCCTTTTCTTAGGTTTCATTTTATTCCTTTCACTTTGTTCCATGTTTATGTATGTCTTTTAACTCTGCATCCAGTATCTTAAGTATTGAAGAATGTATTTGATTAAACTCTAGGAGTGGATAAGTTGAGGAGGTGACAACCAGAATAATGCAGAAAGCCTGTCTCTACTGCTTAAGCTTTGTCAATCGATGACAAACCCTAGATACTACGACCAAATCAAGGTTTTCAGAATGTCAGAGTTGGAAGGGACCTTGGAGGTCTTCTAATCCAACCCCTGGTTGGATTAAGCAGGGGACCCTATACCATTTCAGACAAGTGTCTGTGCAGTCTCTTTTTTACAAAAAATAAAATAAAAATCATAGTCATTTTATTGGACGTGAGATATAACATATAAGAACAGAAGTAATTTTTTTTTACAATTATGGAAATATTAGAGATAAGCCAAAGAAGCATGCACAAGTGTTGAGGATAAGAGTCTCTTTGCAACATTCATGGGTGGTTTCATGGGTGTGCAATCTCTTTTTGAAAGCCTTCAGTGATGGAGCACCTACAACTTCTGAAGTTGTTCCACTGGTTGATTGTTCTAACGTCAGGAAATTTCTCCTTAGTTCTGGGTTGCTTCTCTCCTTTATTAGTTTCCGCTCATTGCTTCTTGTCCTCTCTTCTGGAGCTTTGGAAAATTGGTCAACCCCCTCTTCTTTGAGACAGCCTTTCAAATATTGGAACATTGCTATCATGTCTCCCCTGATCCTTCTTTTTACTAGACTAGCCATAACCAATTCCTGCAACTGTTCATCATATGTTTTAGCCTTCATTTTTGTTGTTCTTGTCTGCAGTTTTTCCAAAGTCTCAAAAGGTTTCTGAATTCTATTAGTCAATGTGCCCTTTATTTCCTAGGTTTCCTTGTCTCCTTGACTTTATTGCTCCTTGCAATGCTGCAAGTGAGTCTTTGAAGGTGGAACAGCTTAGGTTTTTTTGGGGGGGGAGGTGTCTCTGACCATTTGGGGTATTTGTAAGTATGATGTACTGGAATGTACAGTTGGAGAAGAAGAGTGGGTGGGAATCGTGGCAATTGCACAGTGGCTTCTCAGGAAGGAGATAATACATTTCCAAAAGAGGGTCCCACAATAAAAGATTGTGCAGTCCTGAACTGGATGAGGGAAGGAGGGAGGGAGGAAAAGATCCAGGGTTGCAGTCAGTCAGACCTTTCAACTTCTCATGAAAAAAAAAGATCTCGCAAAGTTGGAAGATCTGATTGAACTTTTCTTTTTTACCAGTAGTCCCACAGTCTTCTTTTGTTGCCCTGCATGAGGCAGTGGAGAATGGAGCTGGAAAGCAGGTTAGTGAAGGGATGCTTTGGGGAAGTGAGTGGAGCTGGGGGGAGCTGGAAAGTAGGTGGCAAGGCAAACCCCCCAAGAGCTCCAGGCAACTGGTGGTGGAAAGGGAGTGGTAGCAGGCCACTGGAAGTGGAGAAGGGGAAATGGGGAAGGGGCTACTCCGGCTGCCACCGGCTTACTCCACCAACTTCAGGGCTTTGCAGGCCAGATGGCCAAGGATACTGGTGGGGCTTCGTCCTCCACCCCCCCACCTTGTTTCGTCCTCCACCTGCCTCCACCGCCTCGCTTAGTGGCCATGGCACCATGCATTACTCAGCCTCCTCTTCGTTGTGATGCTGAGCAAGAAGAAGCTTTGTCCTCCACCCTCCCACCTCATTTCATCCTCCAACCCCCCACTGCCTCGTTTAGTGGCCCCGGCACACACTTCTTTCTTCTTTGGCAGCAACCAGACAGAATGGGAGGCCAGCCAGCTGCGCACAGGCTCAATTCTGGCTTATTTTAGTGGTAGGGCTTATATTCGGTTCAGGCATGAAAATCGGGCTAGGGCTTGTTTTTGGGGTAGATTCCATTTTTGGGGGAACATGGTATTAAGTTAGAAGGTTATAGCTTTAATCTGGTAAATTTATGTCAATTAGGTGTCAGAAAATAAAAATCTGGACTCAATTGGATTTCATTTGCCTTCAAGTTCAGACGTCACATATCCCATGTCTTTAAGCCTATTGAACCAAACAACAATAGAAATTTTCCAGCTACAGTTTCAGTTAAATACATTGTGTGCAGAAAGTATCATCAGACAGAACTATTTGCATAAATTCAAAGGAAAATGGAAAATAATTGAATACTTTGTTTCAATGACAAAGGCAAACAAAACATAACAAATCGATACTGAAGTGGTTTTAGTGAACAAAGGTCAAATTTAAACTAACTGCCACAGCACAAAAGCTCTAATGAATATATTAGATGCATCAATGTATTAAAACTATTAAACAAAAGTGCCTAATACAGTTTTTGGCTAACCTAAGATCCAGAACTTGCTTCTAACCAGAAAAGAAATAACAAATTCTGGGAAATTACAAAGAAAACTGCATAGTCTCTCATTATGCTAGAGTTCAAAATGAATACAGTAGATGGCTAAAACATCAGAATAGAAGATCAAATGTGGAAAAAAAAAGATAAGAGAGGTGCTTTGATGAAACTAGTAGGCAAAATAATTGCTTGTGAATACAGTATATGCGGGGGGGAGGTAAGAATGTATGGGCTATTATTGATAAATTGTTTGTGATTGGGGATGAATGGCCAATTTTAAAACACGCACCAGAAACAGTCTGTATTGAACTATATTTAAAACATTGGAATAAGCCTTTAAAGTTGAGCAAAGCAAGCATTAGGGATAACAATATTTTTCCTCTCTACAAGACCAATGTAAAAACAGAATAATAACCTGTAAGATAAGGAGGAGAGTGTCTTTTCAAAATTTCTAAATAGCTCTTTGTTGGGGCATTTGGTTACCTTGTGGAACTCCTGTAGTGTATGGAGTGCATGTTTGAGATCTATGAATACTGAAATGTTGATATATATTTTTTGTTATTTGTAATAAATTGCTATAGTAGTAAAAGGCACCAGGCTACAAATTGGGAGATGGTGACTTTTAATCCTGCCTTTGGCTCAAAGCCAACCTGGCAACCTTGGGGCAATCACTCACTCTCAGACCCGGGAAGGAGGCAAGGGCAAACCACTTCATTTGTTCAGCTAAAGCATTTTTAGGCTAAAGGCCAAGAATCCTGTATGTCTTAGAATGCTTCTACAACTAAAATATTTAGTATATTCTGTGTGAAATCAAAAGCCTATCATTATTTATAAATGATTGCTAAAATACATTAAATTTGGTTCTGGGGGGAGAGAAATTGTCCCCCTCAGAACAGGCTCGCAATTTGGGTGTCCTCCTAGACTCACATCTAAGATTAGAGCAACATCTGACAGCTGTGGCTAGGGGGACCTTTGCACAGATTCGCCTGGTGAACCAATTGCGACCCTACTTGGATCAGGAGGCTCTCCTCACAGTCACTCATGCCCTTGTCACCTCACGTTTAGATTATTGCAACACGCTCTACATGGGGCTACCCTTGAAAAGTGTTTGGAGACTACAGTTGGTCCAGAACACAGCCGTGCAAGCTGTCATGGGTGTACCTAGATACACTCACATTACACCAATTCTCCGTGAGCTGCACTGGCTCCCTATTGGTCTCCGGTCACAATTCAAGGTGTTGGTTATTACCTTTAAAGCCCTACATGGCTTAGGGCCAGGTTATCTTCGAGACCGCCTTCTACCGCATAGCTCCCAGCGACCGGTAAGATCCCACAGAGTTGGTCTCCTCCAGGTCCCATCAGCTAAACAATGCCGGCTGGCGGGCCCGCAGAGGAGGGCCTTCTCTGTGGCTGCCCCAGCTCTCTGGAACCAGTTACCTCCTGAGGTCCGGACCATCCCCACCCTATTGGCCTTCCGAAAAGCAGTGAAGACCTGTTTTTTCCGGCAGGCTTGGGGCCGTTGATCTCGCTCTTGTGATCTGGCGAGATCCGGCCATGAATGGCGTGAATGAGTTTTTAATGTTTTTAATGTTTTTAATTTTTAAATGTTTTTTATAATGATTTTTTAAAATGTATTGTGAGCCGCCCTGAGTCTTTGGAGAGGGGCGGCATATAAATTGAATTAATTAAATTAAATTAAATTAAATTATATGTTTGAAAGTTTAGGGAGGCACCAAATAAGAATTGGAATTTGTATTTCATGAACATTGATGGAAGACTACTTTGGCATGTATATATTTCCATAGAGGCATGCCAGTTGCATACGATTTACAATAAAAATATTATTTTGTGTCTCTTGGATTATACTTTTTTTTTCTGGAAGAAACTGATCAGTTCAGTTAATGGTTGGAGATGTGATGTCAAAAGTGTGGAATTAGGCTTCGCTCTTGTGTTATAACAGCTTACAGGTGATTCTCATTTAACAACCAGTCTTTCAACAATTGTTTAAACTTGCAACAGCACTGAACAGAATGGTACTCCTGACTGGTCCTCAAAGTTCCAGCTGGCGAAACACCCCCATAGTCCTGAAATCATGATCTGTGTGCTCAGGAAGACACTCAGATTTCCAATCTTTGCAGCATCCCATGGTCACCCAGTTTGGATTTGCAACCATCCCTGATGGTTTCCCTCAAACAAAGTCAGTGAAGAAGCCAGCAGGAAGCTGCAATCATGTGAAGTCCTCATTTGACATCCTGCATGGTCCTTTCTTAAGGCCAGTAACCAGGGACTTCCAGAACTGCCATTGCTAAGTGGCATGGTCATGTGACATCGTAATTTACAATTGTATCACTTAGCTACAGAAATTCTGGTCCAAATATGAGCCGAGGTGGCGCAGTGGTTAGAGTGCAGTACTGCTGCTAGTTCAGCAGATCAGCGGATCAAATCTCACTGGCTCAAGGTTGACTAAGCCTTCCATCCTTCCGAGGTGGGTAACATGAGGACCCAGATTGTTGGGGGCAATATACTATTTAGTATACTGTCTTTGGTGTAAGCCGCCCAGAGTCCTCGGAGAGTGGGCGGCATAGAAATATGACTAATAAAATAAAATAAAATAAATAAATTATTACTGTTGAGGTCTGGATCTGTACCTTGAGGCAAATGCTATTCCACTATTAATTTGTTCTGGAGGGCTCATGTGTTTTTGTAAATGCATTTTTAAAATTTACTCTGGAAACCAACTGGCAGATACTAATAATAAATATTGCCTATCCCCCAAATGGATTCTCAGGGATATCCATCATCCATTAATGCATTGTACAACTCTGTTTGTTGAACCTAAAGAAGGATTCTACCTGTGGAAGTCCCAGGTGGAGGACTATTCCATATTTCAAATATCTATTATTTAGATGCTGACTTTCTCATTTTTTTAATGGTCAACAAATTTATTTACTATATATATTAATTTGCATAGCAGATCATGAATACATAGGTAAAACTAGTTCTGATTGTACAGTATATGACAATTGTTTTGTGACTTTCTATTTTCCATATTTTTATATAACCATTGTAATCATACTGTATTAGACTTACTGGAAATTCTGTTTATCAAGTAACCATCTATTCCAAGGGAGCAAAAAAAAAAAAAAGCCGAAGGAAGTAACTTATTTTTTAAGAGAGCTGCAGTTGAAGTGATAGGCACCAGCATTTCTGATAATATGCTCCTTCATGTTCTCTGTCTATAGTCAACAGGTAGTCTTGGAAACCTCTCATCTCATTCATCCTGCTTTGTCCAGGATGAAGACTGGGACAGAAGACCTGGACCACTTCCAAGAAAAACTGTGGGTCATCATAGGTCTGCAGTTCGTTTTCGCCGTTTTGGGGAATGGCTTTACAATCTACCACTTTGTGGCTTGGGAACGCACCTGGCATCCTGGCATCATCTACTCCTTCAATCTGGCACTCTGTGACCTGTTCTATGCCATCTCCTTGTTGCCCTTGGCTGCTTACTACTTCCCCCCCAAGGACTGGAAGTACGGCTCCCCTTTGTGCAAATTGGATCGTTTTGTCTTTTTTGTCAACTTGTACGGCAGCACCTTTTTCATTGCATGCATCAGTCTGAACCGCTACGTTGCCATCGTCCATCCCTTCTTTGCCCATGAGCGCATCGAACCCTTCCATGCCAAAGTTGCCAGTGGAGTGATATGGTTGTTCGCGATAGCCATCTCGTCCCCTGTCCTTCATTTCTCCAACATAGAATCTAAAGGCAATGCAACAGTTTGCCTAGGAAGTGCTTCTATGTCAGAATTGCCTGCTTATTGGCCTTACAGCTTGTTCCTCCTAACGGTGGGCTGTGGACTGCCTTTTCTGCTGACTCTCTTTTCTTGTGTGGCCATTGTTTGCGCTGTTAGACGCAGCCATGGTACCACCAGGGAGGAAAAGTGTAAAGTGAAGATACTGATTTCTACAGTTGTGCTCCTTTATGCCCTCTTTTACTTGCCTTTTCATGTCTTCCGCAACGTGAATATTTATTACCGTGGGACGGGCAACATGACCATTTACATCACCTACCAAATAACTAGGATCCTAGTTAACTTTCATGTTTGCATCCACCCATTCATCTATGCAGCTCTAGCTAAGAACATGCCCAAATGTTGCTGTAAAGGATTACAGCGACAGAAAAAGCTGCAAGAAAAAGAGAAGAATGTGGAATTGCAACTAGCCCCCTCCTATGGCCACTGAAACCAATGATGAAAATACATTTGTCTACTAGTTAGTTTTGCTATTTACTGACAATCTGCCCACTGCAATATATTTTCTGCTAAAGGTAAAGGTTTCCCTGTCAGTCATGTTAGCTCTAGGGCACTGTCATCTCCATTTCTTGGCTGAAGGAGCTACTATTATCTGAAGACAATTTCTATGGTCATGTGGCTAGCATGACTATACGCTGAGGTGCACGGAACATTGTTACCTTCCCACCAAAGTGATACCTATTTATCTATTCACATTTGCATGCTTTCAAACTGGTAGATGGGCAGGAGCTGGGCAAGTAATGGGAGCCCATCCCATTGCACATAGCTCGGGTCTTGAACTCAGGAGCTGACAAGCTCAGCATCTTTAACTGCTGAGCCATCATGCCACCTGCTATTTTCTACTACTTTCCCATTATTTAAAGGAACCAGACAAGGATGTTCACTTTCACTCCTGCTTTTTGATATTTATGTGGAACCCCTGGCTTGTGCTGTTGGACTAAATGGAGTAGCACATAGTTGAACATAAGCTGGTTTCTTTAACATTATAACATAGTGCAAATTTCAATCCTTTCAGCCACATATTTTCCCACTCTTCCATCTGTATATTATAACCATATTTTAATTCCACTTTTTCATACATTCATTTGTTACGTTCCAAATGTCAGTAAATGTTTATATATTTTAACAAGCACATGTTCATTATTTGTACACAATTCCATTTCACACAATATTCAATCATTATGTTATTTTAAATGTTTATGATAAAACTATTTACAAATCTGTCCCTCTCTCATCAGTTATTTTCTTGATTTTATTTTGTCTTCCCCATGACAAACTTGCTAGCTATTTTTAAGAGACTTGCTTCATGTGTCTCATTCCCAGTTTAAGGCAGTGACTTTCTCAGTCTCTCACTCATGGCTCTGAGGTTCACCAAAATGCACTGAGCCTTGGCAAACATGCCAAGGACTGATACTGTCCTTACAGTAAGGTGACCAGATTTTAACATTGGTAAAGAGGGACATTGTGGGCGTGGCTTATTTTGTGGGCGTGGATATCTGGTCATGTGACTGGGTGGGCGTGGCTAGCTGGTCATGTGACTGGGTGGGCGTGGCTAGCTGGTCATGTGACCGGGTGGCCATGGCTATGTGTATAGGGTAAGGTGAACAGATTTTAACATTGGTAAGAAGGACACCATTGTGGGCGTGACTTATTGTGTGGGCGTGGTTTGGAGGCCATGTGACTGGGTGGGCGTGGCTAGCTGGTCATGTGACCAGGTGGCCATGGCTATGTGTATAGGGACTACTCAGAGGGCTGAAAAGTCATTTCTGACAGGTCCTCACACTTTTGACTGGTCCTCACACTTATGACCATCCTCACATTTATGCCCGTGCAGTATTTTTAACAACCATGTCACTCATTTCACAACTGCTTCTCTTCACCATGGTGACAAGATAGGGCAAAAATGTAAAATGTGAGGACAGTCGTAAGTTCGAGGACTGGTCAAAAGTGTGAGGACCAGTCAAAAATAACTTTTTCAGCCCTCTGAGTAGTCCATATGCATTAAAGGATACAGCAATAGAGAGGGATGAAGGAATGGAAATTAGAGTAGGAGTGAGGGTAAGAGAGGGAGGAAGAGAGGAGGAGAAGGAGAAAGGAAGAGGAAGTAGGGAGGAGAAAAAGAGGGTGGGGGGAAGAGAAAGTAAGAAGGAAAGAAAAGAGAGTGGTGGTAGGTTTGAGGAGAAAGATTGCTGTACAATAAAAAAGATGAAAGGGAAGAAAGCCAACCCCAAGCAAATATAAAGATATTAAGATTAAGAATGAATTGTTAAACTTTAAAGAATAAAAGAGAACAAATATGAATAAATGGCAATAATTAGAAACACACATACAAACATACAATGTATTTTCTTTGAACAGAATATTTGGCTGGTTCACAAATTTAAACAGCGTTTAGTCATTTCAATTAAATTTACAATTTCTATATTTCCTTTTTGCCATATTTACTCCTCATCTATTTTTTTAAAAAAACAATATTACCCTTCATCCTCATCTCTAATCTTAATCAAATTCAATTTTTCCCTTCTATTCTATATTATACCCCTTCCCATTGTCATCTATTTTTATATCCATCCTCACATTGGTTAATTATGTAATTATGTAATACAGTTGTTTAATACAAATTCAACATTTTAATATAAATCAATTAGTTATATAACTATCTTTTTTGTATATTAATCAATATGAACATGAATATTCCAATTATTTCCATGCAATCCAATTTCTTACAAATCAATTAATTATATTTACCAATAATAATAAACCAAATAATTTCCCCCATATATTCCTCCAAACCACAACTTAACCATTTCTGCTTTCAACACAATATACAATTATTAATAGTATCTCAATTATTACAATTCCCTAGTTAAATAGAGCTTTTTTTCTTTTGTGTTTTAAAATCTTGAACTCTCCTCTTTTGCCCAAAATTTCCCATTGTTTGCAGTTTTGTACCTACCTTTTTTGGTGAGGAAAAAGAAAAAGAAAAAGAAAGAAATCTCTCTCTGCCTCATTTTGTCACGTTGCAGGTTTAGTTTCGCTTTCGCCTTTGTTTTCAGTATAGCTAGGGGGAAAAAAATCTGCTCCAGGAACTTTTTGCAGCTTTTTGCAGCTAATTAACCTAGCGGAAGCTGTTAACAGGGGCTGTTTTTTCTATTTTTGCAGGCATGGGTCTATTCATTTTTTTAACACTGATCAGCTGTAGGTCGGCCCTTTGAAGCCCTGCCGCAAGAGTTTAAAGAGTTTTTTTTCCCTCTAGCCATCAGCGGGGATTCAGGAGGCAGCCGGGACTCAGGAGGCAGAATGAAAAATCGGGACTTTTTTAAAACGCCGCGGGACGCGGGACAAATTGCTCAAAAGCGGGACTGTCCCGCCAAAAGCGGGACGTCTGGTCACCTTACCTTACAGATTGAAGATGGGCACATTTCATCACTAGCACAATTATGTCAACACATTTTTCTGGCAACTCATTAAAATGACTGTGAGGAAATGCCCACAGACTACAGAATATTTGGCTTTTTTGTACTATAATTGTAATTATGAGTTCTCAAAGCCTTCAGATGCTGCCAGTCTTAGCAACATTTTGCAACTGTACAGTATATGGAGACTTGAGTCAAAGGATCATCGATCTGGTCATACAAAAGGAAAGCAGTCCGCAGCACTTCCTGTGCTTCAAAGAGAGCCCTGGTGATGAGGATGCTTTCACTGGGTGTCTGTTAGAAAGAAAAGCCAGGAAGGAAATGGTTTTCCATGCCAGAATTCTTGCAGGCCCTTACACAGAAAAAGAGTCAGTGGAGAGTGGAGACATGTTTCCCTTTTGGATTTTTAAGAGGCTTTAGGGGAAAAAAAATCTCCATTACTATTTAAAATTAACAGCAACTATATGACTACAAGACGAGACAAAAGAAATGGGAAATAACAACATGCACATGTCTTGTTTAAACCACATAAAAAGGACCATGGACAATAGTTTACTACTCTCACCACACTACGTTGTATGTGGAACTAGACTCATACACACACACACTTTTGTTGGGACTATAATCCAACACATTTGAAAAGCATCTGGATGAGAAACTGTTTATTTCACAAATTTGGAGTAATAACTTTGCAACTCATCTAGTATCAGCCAGTTTGGAATAGTGGTTAAGGCATCAGGCTAGAAATCAGAGGACCTTAAATTCTAGTCTCAACTGAGGCTCAAAGCCAGTTGGGTGATTTTGGGCTAGTCACTCTCTCTCAGCCCTAGGAAGGAAGCAATGGCAAGAAAACTTTGCCAAGAAAACTGCAGGGACTTGACCAGCAGTCGCCAGGAGTCAACACTGACTCGAAGGCATTAAAAAAAATTATCCCCATTGTATGTCCATACCATCAGTCCCATTTCCAGTCTTTCAACTGTAGAGTTTTCCCCCAAGGGGAAAAAGGAACTGGTATTAAGTCAGGTTATCCCTATATGAATAAAAGGGCATCAAAAGATGTTTAGGTGGTGATGCCAATTCTGAGTTTTGAAGATCTGTTCCAAGCCCACACTCTCCACCTTATCCTTCCACTGCTATGTTCAACATCTTCTTGGCTTTCATGTCTCCTGCTGTCTCTGTAGTCCTATGAGAATGACTAGACCTATTACCTGAGACATGCTTAATTGGAGCTAAATGAATAACTGTCATCAGTTCCAGAAGTATGTTAGGTTAATAATTTACTTTTGATAATTGTCCTATGTTATGAGGGGGTAAGGGCTGCTCCTAAAGATTAGGGTTAACTCTTGTGGGTGAACCTTCCATCTGGCCATCTGCCTCTTTTGATTATAAACCATATTTTTCAGAGTATAAGACGCTCCGGACTATAAGACACACCTAGCTTTTTTGGGGAGGAAAACAAGAAAAAAAATCTGCCTCTGCCTCCCAGCATCCATGTGGTATTCATCTGGCCCGTTTGGCGTGGCCCATTTGCCGCTGCCGTGACCCATTGAGCATGGCCCATTCATCGGTGCCTGTTTATCGCTGCCCATTTGCCACGGCCTGTTCACTGCTGCCGTGACCCGTTTGGCGTGGCCCATTTGCCACCACCCATTTGCTGCTGCCATGGCCCGTTCAGCATGGCCCATTTGCCGCAGCCACAGCCCGTTTGCCACCACCCCGCAGCCCATTCTAGAACAGCTGATTGGCACTGCACCAACCCCATTCCCCCCTCACCGCAACATTCGCTTTATAAGACTCACCGAAATTTTCACCCACTTTTAGGGGGCGTGAAGTGCATCTTATACTCCAAAAAATATGGTATATTGTTCATCTCCATTATGGATATGGTGGGGAAGTTGAGTATCTTGAGCCGTGGTGGTACAGTGGTTAGAGTGCAGTACTGCAGGCTACTTCTGCTGACTGCTGGCTGCCTGCAATTTGGCAGTTCAAATCTCACCAGGCTCAAAGTTGACTCAGCCTTCCATCCTTCCGAGGTGGGTAAAATGAGGACCCAGATTGTTGGGGGCAATATGCTGACTCTGTAAACAGCAGTGGTGGGATTCAGCCAGTTCACACCACTTTGGGAGAACCGGTTGTTAACTTTCTGAGCAATTTGGAAAACTGGTTGTTGGAAGAAATCATTAGGGCAGAGAACCAGTTGTTAAGTTACTTGAATCCCACCACTGTATATATTGCTATCTTGTCCAGCCTATATCCCAACATTATAATTGTGGTGGGTGCTGAGGCAGGTTATTACTCTAATCAAAAGCTGAAGCAAGAATGTTCCTGGAGAGCAATGCCCAGGGAGGAGGGGACATGCCTACAGTAACCTCAAATAGTCAGTGGGAGCTAGGAAGATGCCAACTTCTGTACATCATCACCATCATCAATTAGGCATCATTGATTGTACAATGTACTGGAAGAAGAGTGAGATGCTATTTTAAAAGTGGCCTAGCTAAAAATTAATTGGGCTGTTGCTGTGAGGGCTACAGATGAGCAAAGGTGGCATTTTGAGGACATGAAAGACAGCTAATGAGGCATATTTCTGCTGCAATTAGTGGAATGTGAAGGCAGGCCCTCCGAGCAGACTTGTTAACATTTAATACTATGCCAGAAAAGACTGAACAGATGTTTGATATGCTCACCAACAGATATAACATGGCATCTGACTAACAGGCAAAAGTCAAGTACCATTTGTCCCATATGGTGGTAAGTGTCCCGCCCACCCCCCCAATGCACATGTGAACTGCATTCACTACC